ATGTTTAAAATTACCCTAAAAACTTGGGTGTGATAGGTTATCTATTCCATATGATGACAACTATTTACTGTCTTAAGAAAGTGATCTGTATAAGATAACTTAAGACTTGATTCTTAATTCTCATCATGTCTCAAATAATGCAGTCCTCTTGTGCCTATATACCTTGTCTCATTTTATTGTGGCCATATATCATGTACTCTAAGCAGTCAGAATTGGGTGGACTCTGTTATATTCAATCTTCCTTTCAATAAAATAAATAGGTAATGTACTCCAAAGCCTCTGGCAGGACATGGTACATTAATCAAAGATTCTGAAAGCATACGTAGCTGTGCTCCTAGAAATGTGAGGGGAAACTCCACTTGAATTACATTGGAAAGTAAGACTGTTCAATCTGTGGAAAGGTTGCCTGCTTTTTCCTTTTCTTGTTAACCTTGTTGAACTGTAGCATAGTTTGTGTGATGGTTTGATTACTTCAGTGTTTCTGATTTTCTAAAAAATTAAAGCTTAAGTTTGGCTTTTATTTTTGTTCAGAGTAGAAACAGGACAAAATGATTGTGCAGCAAAATATAGCTGTGAGGGAAATTATATATATTTCACACAGCAAGACCTCAATATTACATGATGCAGTTGCACCACATTATTGCATGTGCTGGATATGATAGGAGGGGGTTTAGCTCGATGCAACTCATCTCCCAGTGCAGCAGCGTGCTGAGTATGTCTGAAAGGCTTATTCCTCACAGCAGTGTTTTCTTGTCGTTGTTGTTTTGCTCATTGTATGTGTATGTGTGTGGCTGGAACATCTGCTTGGTTCAAATGGAAGCAGATTTTGTAGCATTTTACATTTTTTTTACTTGATTGATACGGTGAGGGGCTGTAAGCAATTAGCACAATATGTGTAATGCATGTAGGCTCTCAGGTTAAAAGTCCTGCCATTTCTGGACAGGATTCAGATAGACGCCGGATAATTGTGGACTGCCACAGCCAGTCAGAGTAGACCAGTGGGAAACCTTAGTCCTCCGAACCATCACATCGAAGACAGAAGGCCTTGTGACTGCCTGCAGCCCTGAGCCCCCCCTGAAGCCCCCTCTAGCATGAAGAAGAGTGATTGATTTGCAATCACAAGGCTATGGCTCGATTTACTCCTTCCCAAGCTTCTTCATGTAGAAAAGATGAAGGAGGAATTGTGCCAACAGAAGGAAAGCCTGTCCTCCCAATTGACTCCATGATCAGAGTGCTGGCTTTATTCTGCAATGACTTCCTGTGCTAGAGGAATCTGCACAGGTAGATTCCCCGAGGGAGATGTCAGCTGGCAAAACTCTGTTCTCCACTTAGTGGTGTCAGGTCCTCCATATTATCCCACTCATTCAGATATTGTTGAGCTAATTGGATAGATGATCTGATGAGTATAATTGTCTCTGACCTATATTATGTTGTCAACAGTGCTAGCATGAGCTTAGAGGAGTGAACTCCCAGAAGTCTGTTGTAGCATATATGCAATTCAGTTATGGTATACTGGATGTCCCATGTATGACTAACTAAAATGTAGTGTTTTTGTGATCTCTCCAATAATCTTGGCTAGCGGCTGCACTTTTTTCCGGAAATATCTACAGTGGTGTCTCGCTTAATGATTACCTCGTTAAACGATGAATCTGCTTGATGGTGAGGTTTTTGTGATCGCAAAATGTTTTAATTGGCAAAATTCGCTTCCTGACAATCGGTTCCCTGCTTTGGGAACCGATTCTTCGCATTACGAGGATCAAAACAGCTGATTGTCGGGTTTCAAAATGGCCACCCGCTGTGTAAAATGGCTCCCTGCTGTGCTTTAGGATGGATTTTTCGCTGCACAGGCAATGGAAAATGGCTGCCCTATGGAGGATCTTCGTTGGACGCTGAGGTATTTAGCCCATTGGAACCCATTGAGCGGTTTTCAATGTGTTTCAGTGGGCTTTTTTATTTCGCTTGATGAGGATTTCGCTCTACAGCAATTTCGCTGGAACGGATTAGCCTCGTCAAGCGAGGCACCACTGTATTCTTTCCTTCTTTAAGCAGGATAGTCCTAAAAGAGATGCTTTTTCTTATTATTGTGATGAAAGGCCTTACTCTGCATCCAGCAGATTTTCACTGAAAAACCAGCATTCCAAATATGTTTATGACTTCTCCCTCAAACTTTTGAAAGATCAGAAATGTTTCTTCTTCAAGCTTTAAATATCATTCTCATGTATAGCATTTGTATTGGCACACCATATGGTGTTCCTGTTTGGTTTTTCCCAGTGGAAATCACACATCTAAACAAATGTGATATATGAAACAAAACATTTATAAATAACTTGGCTTTCAGATATTGCATTAAAATAGAGTCATGGACCAATATGGGCGTTAGGACTTAACTGCTTTTTTCAGATGTCTTATCCTTCATATTATGCAGCTATTCCTAAGGATTTAGCTCCCAAACAGGTTGCAGCTATTCAGACTGTAGCATGGTAAAGGGAGCAAGATCAGCTAGTACTACTGATGCCTCTTCATCATATGATCAAAGCTGTGTAAATGATGGCTAAGATTCTAGTGGGAATCCAGAATTTTCTACTCATGCTTCTCTGCCTGCTGTTTCTCTTTTGATCACATTCACCCAGAAAACAAACAACTTCTTTCTAAACTTTGCAACATCAGATAAATTCTAAATACTCCCAGTGCTAAAAAATAAAGATATACTAGTACTAACCATCCATGCTTGGCAGCTGCTGCCATTTCCTCTGGAGAGGCAACATAATGTAGTGGATAGAGTGTTGGACTAGGACTCAGGGGAGCTGGGTTCAAATCCCACATGAAAATTTACCATTCAGGGCGACAGTGGTAAAACTACACCTTAAATTTCTCACATACTTTGGGAATTCTGCAGTGGTCACCATAAGTCAGAATCACCTCAACAGCACATAGCAGCAAGTAGCATGTAGGGTCATTTTCACTTTGTTTTTATAAAAAAATTGTAGAATAGTCTTCTGATGGACTACTGGGTTCAGGAAGTTCCACTGTAGCCACTTAACCGCAGTCTCCCATTTATTCAGGAGTAGATGGGCCCAGGAGAATCAAACATGGTGATGACTAGGGAACTTTCCCAAAATTCAGGCTACCCAGACTAGGCAGTGCTTCCAGGGAGTTAAAAATGTGCAAGGCTAAGCACACAGAGCCACTACACCCACCTTACAAGATAGAACTGCCACCAAACCCACAACCCCCCCCCCCAATGTTCCTGGTAGCTGGTCAGGGCAAGACTTGGTTTTAATACCACAGACCCTCTGAGTCAAAATATCTGGACAATTGGTTGGATATAATTTTATATTTCATTAAACATAGTAAAAATGCAAAAGTTCAGAAAAGTTTCAAAAAGCACTTGGAGCAGAAAAGACTATTTGAGACAAAAGCTGAAGCAGTCAAGAGAACACACTAGAAAATAACAAAGGTAAACTTATCAACCTGACATCAACGTAGAGTCAGCATAGCATACACAAAGTGCATCCTTCCATGTATGGCATGACAAGACAGCAAATGAGCATAGCATCTCCTAAGAGATAATCTAAGCCAACTAAAGTAACTTCTGAACTCTTTTTATTGATTGAATGTTACATTCTGGACCCTTCCAGACTGTGCCGATCAGACTTTGAGTTCCCCCAGATGTTCACGAAGACAAGAGCACTTTCTGTCCCTCTCCTTTCACACAGCTGAAATCATATTCCAGTTAGTACAGTACTAGCAAACAAGCTGACTTGGCCTTGAAGGCCTCAGTGGTAAGAGATAAATTGCAGGTGTAGCCCCCTTGTTGTTGTTGAGCAGACAGTGCCATTAATGTTCGGAGCCAAATGTTCTTAGGCACCAACGGAGAAGCCTGAATTTTCCAGATGGATTCCATGTTCCACATTTCTCCAATTTCTCAGCTTTTTCACAATTCTTTTTCTTGTTAACAACAGCAGCTGCTTTGTGATGATCATTTCTCTAAAAAATCTTGTAAAATGGACTGAATTCTTGGGTTTAAAAACAACCATATAATGTGAAGTCTGTAATTTTGTTTGAATATCATCCTGTTATGTACACAAAAAAGTACAAGGAAAAATCAGAAGGTTATAAAGACAGAGTGCATATGTAGATTTTTTTTTTGTTTCTAGAATCCAGTAGGGTAAGAGCAGATAATATGTTTCATGTAGTAAATTATTCATCACAGGCATTTCTTTTGAGGTGTTCTCCTAGGGTTCATTCACATGAGATGCATGGCTCAGATTGAGGCAGTTTGGAAGAAGAGTCTCTTTCCCCCATAGATCTGGAATCAGTCTTCCAAGCCATACCTGTTTTACTTTTTCCTTGAATGTAATCCAGACTTTTCTAGCTTGCATTTCCAAATAATAAGACATCCTCTGTCCTTGACTTGTGCATGCCCCTTTGGAACCAGGCTTGTTCAGGACAAAAAACAGACTGTGCTGACACATCTGCAATGAACCAGGCTGCAAAAAAAAAAAAAAAAAAAAAAACCACGAAAAAAAAAAAAAAACAAGACAATTTCCATGTGAAGGAAAAATAATCCTGAAATAGAAGGGAGTGGAAGGGATTGATTTGAGTTTATAGTACTGTAATGTTGTGTAGATCCATTAAACTAATTTGAATCAAGTAGAATCACTTCTTTAACAGGAGCAAATGGGATGTCTGGATGAGGCCATAGTTAATCTCTGGGAACATAGTATCATGCTTAGCACAATATCAGACTGTTAATTATAATATCATACTTAGTACATAATTGTAGTTCTTCCTCATAAATTCAGTTACTGTAACACCAGCTATTTGCCATGATTGCTGTAAAAACAAATCAGATGTAAGGATATGGAAGGATGAATACAGTTGCATCTCTGTATAATAGAATACATTGACACCATATGTCCATGGCAATTTTAAAGACTAAAAGTATTGCTTGGCAATTCTGATAATTCTCATTTTAATAATGCATTTGCATTTCGTAGCTTGAGACAGTGGGATGGCAGCTTAATCTTCAGATGGCTCAGTCTACTCAAGCAAAACAAAAATCCCCTCAAGCTGTCTTAGAACTTGGTGTGAACAATGAAGATTCAAAGGTAAGTTGCCTTCTGTCTCATTGATTTCTTAAAACAATTAGTACTAAACTGTGGTGAACAAGCTTGCATCAGTTTGCAGCCAAGAAAACAAAGGTAGCCATGTTGGCCATTTAAAAAAAATCACAAAATCTTTCTTTTTGTCTGCATTAATTTTTTGAAGCCAAGTCAAAGTACAGTATATAAAAAACCCCCGATAAATGTATAACCCAAACATGAATTTTCAAACTAGTTTTCAAGTGAGAAGCAGTTTTGAAATATGCCTTGAGGTTATTTGCTGCTGGAATAACTTTCTCATATCAAATTGGGCAGATTTCATGGATCATATATGAGGAACACTTCTGTCTGTGTGTTATACTGCTTTATCAATACAGTGGTGCCCCGCTAGATGCTTATCCCGCATGACGTTGAAATCGCTTGATGACATTTTTGCGATCACTATTGTGATCGCAAAATGATGGTTCCAATGGGGGAAATCCGCTTTATGTTGATTAGGAGCCTGTTTTTTCCAGCTCTGCAAAATGGCTTCCCTCCCTTCTCAAAATGGCTGTTTTCTGATTCCGCAAAATGGCTTCCCTCCATTCTCAAAACGGTTGCTTTCCGGACGGATGCTTCGTATTACAGCGATTTTTAACAGCTGATCGGCGGTTCTCTATGGGCAATCTTCGCTGGACGATGAGGTATTTCCCCCATTGGAACGCATTGACTGGTTTTCAGTGCATTTCAATGGGGATTTTTTTTTTGCTTGACGACTATTTTGCTTAAGAGCGATTTTGCTGGAACGCATTATCATCGTCAAGTGGGGCACCACTGTACTTCTGGGTTCCTTTGGAACATCATGATAAAAACTGAATTTCCACCCTTGGTGCTGGGGTTGGGAGTTTGATTCCCTGCTTGTCCTTGGAGAAGAGCCAGCCTGTGCTGCCTTGAGGAAATCACCCAATCCCAGGGTGCCCCAAGGAGGCAGGAATAGTGAATAACCTTTGAGTAAAGGTAAAGGTTCCGCTTGACAATTTGTCCAGTCATGTCTGACTCTAGGGGGCGGTGCTCATCTCTGTTTCCAACCGATAGAGCTAGCGTTTGTCTGAAGACAATCTTCTGTGGCCATGAGGCCAGTGTGACTAGACACGGAACGCCGTTACCTTCCCACTGTGGTGGTACCTATTTACTCGCATTTTGCATGCTTTCGAACCACTAGGTTGGCGGGAGCTGGGAAGAATGACAGGGGCTCACTCCGTTGCATGGATTCGATCTTACGACTGCAGGTCTTCTGACCTTGCAGCACAGAGGCTTCTGCCTTTGTACTTTATACCTAAAAATCCCTGGAAAGGGTCATTGTTAGTGACAATGCATTTGATGGTGCATGGTTATTATTGTTATGGTGTCATTACTCCTGACTTCTTCTGGATAGGTAAACAGAAAATTTTCATGGGAGATTTATTTATGTTGTCATTTAAAAGCTACCAGTAAACATGGAAAGTACAGTCAGAAGTATGGCAGCAATCCAATGGAACCGTTTCCATGCAGCCACCTGTGCTACAGGTGGGTTCTTAGTAATGCTGTTACCATAGCATAACATCACCATTATATTCCTACAATGAGCAGGGAAGCTGATTTTTTGGGTGGGGTTTGGGGAAAAATTCAATACATTTTCAGTTCTCTTCTGAGCTCAGATAACAATGGTTTGAAGTACGAATTAAGGATATAATCTGAAGAAAATTGCCCCATGGCTCTTCAGTTGTTGCCCTCGCAGTCTTGCTGAGTCTGTCCCTTGTGGTGTGTTGAGCAAGCACCCAGTTCTCCTGCTTGCATGGCTGGTGGCAATTGTCAATGGTTGCGAAGAAGACCAGCCTAAATAAGTAAACATGCCCTGTTACATTTCACCGCCCTGTCTTTGAGGGCTATTTTTGAATCCTTATTTAGAAAACGTGTCAGCACATTATTTGCAAGTACTAACCTTGTGAATATATTGCAAAAATGAACTGACACAAAATTGTGGTATGAAAGCTTTTTGTAAAATATATATTTTTTCCATGAAACATCTTCTTTTGAGTACATAAAAACATGATTTCAAGTTTGAAGGAGCAGTTTTGCCCTTTTTCCTCTAAGCTTGGTGTGCTCCTTTTCTCTCTTACAGCTGTGGATTCTTCCAAGCACAGCAAGGCATTACTAAGAAGTATGATTTTAGCAATAGCAGCATTCTCTTGAATGTTCACTGACCTAAATGTGTTTTGCATTGACTCACCAGAGGGCAGTAGAGCTCTTTCGAATGTCTGCATTTCATTGCTATGTTGACTCCCCCCCCCACTGCAATTGTTGAATCAGTTGAGAAGTTAGTGGTGGGAATGTTTACTTTTCTAATCTATTAACAACAATACAGTAGGTAGAAATACTTCATTACTTTTTAAATCAATATATAAATGAAATTGACTCTTATCAGAAAAATGATTTGTATTTAGGTGTTCTAAATTGATGCCTGAGGGGGAAAAACCATTTTACTTTGAAAAAAAATATTTGTAATAGAAAGATTATATCACTTAGTCGGGGGAGGGAGCTGATAGAACCCCCAGGGGGCTTCTTAACAGCTTGCTCTTTTTGCCACAGAGTTTTACCAAAACTAAGAGGAAATTGTGGCACTGTATATTGCCACCTTTTCCTTATTTTTCCTCGATGGTAACCAAAGAAGCAGTGCATACGTAGGGTCGCAGGAAGAGTGTGATCCTGGAGCTGTGTGTACTCTTGTGGCCACACTTCTACAATGCAGATCAGACGATTCAGCTTGAAAACTAGCTTGACTCTTTGCCAACAAAAATCATGGTAAAATCTTCATTATGAAGAGCAGAGTTTTGAGGAAATTACTGATCTGGTAGCCTTTGTGTACAGGATTTTGAATTCCGTATGCTCCCTTCATAGTATATTTTCATGTTCTTGTTACTTAGAAGTGTGGTAGCCACTGTTGATGTCGATTGTAGGTGGAAAAACTTCATTTGTGATGGTCTAAATTGCGGTGAGTTTTGCTAGACAGTAGGGTCAGGAGAGAGGAAACTGCTTATCGTGATGTTGATTCCCACAGTGAAAGTAATATCTGAAAATGGCTTTCTTCTTTTAGCAAGGGATGACTGAGTAGAAACAATTACTATGCAATTGCATATTTAATTATTGTCAGGTATGACTACTTGCTTACTGGAAAAATAAGAGTTCTGAAATATTTTTTCTTGGAAAACCCAAGACTTTTATTGATCTATAGGTGTGAAAGGAAGTAAGTATAAGAAACAAATGGATTGTACTGTACAGGCTTACTGGTTAGTATAGTACTACAATATTCATACCATCATGTTAGACCTCTTATTTGGCTGTTAGGGAGGTCTCTTCATTATGTCTTACAGTGTTCTGACTGAAGAAAATGTGGCTGTCAAAATATAGCAATTTTTAAAAACTGGTGAATAAAGATTTGGATGAATTTAGATAATAACTTTTGTTATAAATAAACACAATAAAATGAATGTTCCATTTTGTTTTGGGTTGTATTTAATCTGTCTTTCACTAGTATGCTACCATGAAATCACCTTGACAACAAAAGATAATTTATTTTACAGTACAGTGGTGCCTCGCATATCGAGCGCACCGTTTAACAACGAATCCGCATAGCGATCTATTTTTTGCTATCGCTAATGCGATCACATTGCGATGTTTTGAATGGGAAAACATCGCATTGTGATGATCGGTAAGCGTTTCGCTTACCGATCTTCGCTTCGCGATGTTTTTAGAACAGCTGATCGGTGGTTCCAAAATGGCCACCAGGTACCCAAAATGGCCACCGCAAGCATTTTCGCGCGGTTTCCTCGCTTACCAAGGGGGCGAAAATGGCGCGCTATGGAGGATCTTCGCTGAACGGTGAGTTTTCGCCCCATGGGAACGCATTAAACGAAGTTTAATGCGTTCCTATGGGGTTTTTAGTTCCGTTTAGCGATGTTTCCGGACAGCAACGATTAATCCGGAACGGATTAACGTCGCTATGCGGGGCACCACTGTAGTTGTGGTTGTTATGGGTTTTTTGGGCTCTTTGGTCATGTTCTGAAGGTTGTTCTTCATAACGTTTCGCCAGTCTCTGTGGCCGGCATTTTCAGAGGACAGCACTCTGTGCTCTGGTGTAGTTGGCTTGGGAGTGCTGTCCTATGAAGATGCCGGCCACTCCCAAGCCAACTACACCAGAGCAAAGTGCTGTCCTCTGAAGATGCTGGCCACAGAGACTGGTGAAACGTTAGGAAGAACAACCTTCAGAACACGGCCAAAGAGCCCGAAAAACCCACAACAAATATTAGATCCTGTAATAGTGAATACTTAGTTTGCAGTAAATTGGATTAGATTCTGGTTGCAGAAGGTGTTTTATTTGTGGAAGAGTTTCATACTGGAGACAAACTAGGGTATTGTGATGCAAACCTCTAGGATGAGAAACTTTAAATCTGTCTAGTTCTCGGAAAGCTTGGTCTAGATCCTTTACCTGTTTCATGTAATTTGGGCAAAGGCACTGCAGTTAGTCATATATATGCCTTATGAGTACAATTCTGTACATGTTTACTTAGAAGTAAGTTATTACAGTGTTTATTGGGACTTATGTCCAAGTACTGTAATCCTTACAATCTGTTGTAATTCCCCCAGATTGAGAAAAAATGTTTATGTCCTAAAAATATACTGATTGAATATAAACACATGCACTCGCACACAACTGTATGTATGTACCATACTGTATTTTTTCTGTGTATAAAACGCCCCAATGTATAAGACCCCCTCCCACTTTTCTAACCCCAAATTAAGAAATCGGTATTTAAAACATGCAACAGAATACGTTTTATTTACATTTGGTAAATAAGTAACATTTACAGTGGCGCCTCACACAACGATGTTAATTGGTTCCAAAAAAATCAACGTTGTGTGAAACATCGTTCTGTGAAACACCATTTCCCATAGGAATGCATTGAAAACCGGTTAATCCGTTCCAATTG